TTAATTATAAAAGGAAACAAAGTTTTTCTAGTCATTGAAGGAAAATCTGCACTGTCAATGAAAAAGGCCAAGAAAACAATATCATAAGACAAAGAGAAATAGAGGAGAGCACAGCACTGCCATGCAGGAGACAGACAGACACAGCACTGCCATGCAGGAGACAGACAGACACAGCACTGCCATGCAGGAGACAGACAGACACAGCACTGCCATGCAGGCAGGAGACAGATGACAACTCAGGAACTACAACACATTCATTGCATCAAAGATGGGGTAGAAACAGTGCTTTGCAGTAGGAGGCAAGTCACAGGACGAAGGGAGGTCATGTGTCGCCTGTGTTGTTTTAAATTACTCTTATGAAGGTTTATAATGGAGGTGAAGAAAGTTATGACAAGAGACTGAAATTACGGGCTGGGCAGTGGTGGCACACACCTTTAATCCTAGCACCTGGGAGGCAGAGAGATCTCTGAGTTCCAGGCTAGCCTGGTCTACAGGGAGAGTTGACCACAGGCTTCATTCAGCTGGGCTATCACACAAGGCGGCCCTTTCTGAGGAGTGAAAAGAATGCAGGGTTACCTCTGAAATACAAGTGCCTCTAGCTGTTTGGTTCCATAGTGAGTCTAACAGAAAATTTTCTCAAAATAACAGACTAGGAAAGACAGAATCGGCATGTTGTGCAAGGAGCCCGGGGAAAGCCAGCCAAACCTAACTAAACACTGGCCCTTTAATCTTCAAATTAATCTCAGTCCAGATAGCATGTATCCCAAGTGGTAATAGCTGATAATAATAGTGTTTTAAGTATGTAATTGTTTTAAGTCCATAGAGTTAGCGATTTTTACTACCAGTGAATAGTCGAAGAATGGAGGCTTAGGAAAGCCAGACTTTTCTAAGGCCTCGTGGTCAATGCGGGGTCGATATAAACCCAGCTCAGGACTCTTGGGTTGTGCCACCATGCCACGCCACATTGCTCCCCTCTTCTTCCCCACTTCCCCCGTCCCTAGTCTCCCTACCAGCAGAACAACTGTTCTCTTTGAATTCTTCGAATGATAGCTAATTTTCTGAATATCATGTTCACACACTTCTTTCAACAAATCATGTAACCACCAGGTTAACACAGAGCCCCCCCCCCCCCCCCCCCTGCAGCTGGGATGCTCCCTTTGAGTCTAAACACCATTGTATTCAAGCCAGCAGCATCGGAGGATGCTGACCACGGAGGTAGCCTTCCTTAGCATCGGTTTCTCGCTTGCTTGTGCAGTGGTCCCAGCCCATGCCTCAGAAGGTACTCTGGAGGGATGGAATAGGATAAACCACACAAAGCATGAAGATACTGCCCAACGCTGTACTTTTCTAGATTTCACTAGTTAGTTTAGTTTTCACTCCTCCCATTTTGCTGAGCTGAACCAGTTCTGGCGATTTTGTGATAATGAACGGCTTACCAGTCTAAGTTCAGTTTTGTTAACTGTGTTTAGTGTTTTATTGAATTCAGTGTATATTTTCAAATCTACGAACACTTCTAACACAGAACCATGCTAGTAACCATGGGAAGGATGCTGATTTCCCACTGGTCCAAACAGCCAAGCAGACACATAGACATGGGTGCCCTGCATATTTTCATTCGCTTGTTAATTCGCTCCCCTCCTTGGCCATGAATCCCAGTGAGCTGGGAGGAGTAAGACACTGCCAGGCCAGTGCTGCTGCTCTACCTGTGTCTGGGACAAGGCAGGCAAGGCAAGGTGCCCAAATTGGTGTTGGAGCTTCTTCCCTGTGAAGGCCAGGTGAAGTAAGACCCAGATGGGGGCCTGGAATTCTGTCCATGAAGACTAGGTCTCTCATCACATGTTAACATTTAACAATTAATGTTGTGGATAGGTATAGCAGAATGAGCCAACAATGCTGTGGATGAATGGAAGAGGATCTTGAGCGATTTACTGAAGGAAAACAAACAGGCATGTAAGTGTGTGTGAGTGTGTGTTTGTATGAGTGTGTGTGTATGTGTGTGTGTGAGTGTGTGGTGTGTGTGTGTGGTGTGTGTGTGGTATGTGTGTGTCTGAGTGTGTGTGGTATGTGTGTGTGAGTGTGTGTGTGTGGTGTGTGTGTATGTGTGTGTGAGTGTGTGTGGTATGTGTGTGGTATGTGTGTGTGTGTTTATGTGTGTGTGTGAGTGTGTGTGTGTGGTGTGTGTGTGTGGTATGTGTGTGTGTGTGATGTGTGTGTGTGTATGTGTGTGTGACTGTGTGTGTGGTGTGTGTGTGAGTGTGTATGTGTGTGTGTGATATGTGTGTGTGAGTGGTGTGTGTGTGTGTGTGTGTGGTATTTGTGTGGTGTGTGTGTGTGTGTGGTATGTGTGTGGTGTGTGTGTGTGTGTGTGTGGTATGTGTGTGGTGTGTGTGTGTGTGTGTGGTATGTGTGTGGTGTGTGTGTGTGTGTGTGGTGGGGCGGGTGTAAAGTTTCAAAACCACTGTTCAGCATTTATTCTGTCACGGGGTGAGAAGCACCAGTGTGTTAGCTGCAAATGTGATTTTGGGCAGCGTTCCACCTTTTCCTTGGAGAGGTTCAGGGCCAGAAACCCACTATCCTTGTGCCTGCTTGTAGAAGAGAAGAAAAAAGGGGCTTGATAAAAGTGCTCCGTCTGCCGGCACAGTGTAATCACTTAATACCTTGTTCCAATTGAAACCATAACCTGGTCGCATTCTCATGCTGGGGCACCTTCCTCCACTGGATCTGTCGGTGGCTTGTGTAGTCACTGATATTTCCAAGGGAAGCCTTTTGATTATCAAAATGGAAATTAATTTCATAGACTTGGGACCGAATTGGGGAAAGGAGTTAATTGTCATCTGCTGCTGAATCCTGAAAGTGTTACTTAAGGTAAATAAGCTTGGCCTGCAAGCATGGGCCTTGGTGAGGGCTGGGCCTGGGGAACAGAGGTGGCTAGAGACGAGGAAACAGAAAAGATTCTCTTACTGGAGAAAAAGACAACCTCAAGGACATAATCAGAGAGCACATTTTCAATATAATTCTTGATTCTTATAATTGTCGAGGTGAACCAGCTGTCTCCTAAAGAAAGTTATAAAATTACCAAAGGGACTGATTCACCAACTTCAACAGCTGAACGGGAAATTCAAGCTCTTTGTAGACTCACGGAATTCTTATAGATAACACCATTCCTGAGAACTTCATTTCCTCCAACTAAAAGTAACACTGTTGGAGAAGTTCAGGTAGCATTTGGTGCCCTTAAATTACTGTAAGAGACAACCTTTTTATCCATGCAGAGGAAAAGCTACATGAAGGAGGAGCAATACCAATCACGAAGAAGTGAATTCCGCAGCATGGACTTCTTGCCTAAATTAGGGGCTTGTAATATTTGCTCTGAAAACATCTGAAAAGCTGCAGACCGTATTGACTCCTCGCAGCATGCAAGACCCACGGACTGTTTGGACTAGATGGCATGTGGATCTTGTCTGAGTTGTTCTTAGATGAAATAGGGCTCATGGGGATGGTGCCTCTCAAGGTCACTAGATGTTTAGAAGAGGACTTGGGATTCCGGATTCGAATTCTCTCATGTTCAACTTAGTGACCCTGTGCTTTCCAAGGTGTTTAGGAAAGTGGTTACTTGTATCTAAAGAGTGAATGTCAGAGTGCTGTGGCCATTGCTGTGTTTGGGGTTAGGAATGTCCTCAGTACCGTGGAATGGTTCTTAAACACTCCCTTTATATACAAGTAGATGCGTGTAAAGATACTGAGGTCTTCCTTGTCTATGCTGTGTGTACACAGACTCAGAGAGTAATGGGATGAGAGGTCTAGTTAGGGAGTCCCTGCTAACACAGAGAGAATGATTGGTATTAATCACATAAAAATATAAGAAAATGTTAACTTTTTAGTATTATTGCCTTATCATTTTACATAATAGAAAAATTCACTGAAGTAAACTTTTTAAAACTTCCTAACTTTCAAAGTGTGGCTTTTATTTAGTCAAAGCTTTTAAATTAACAAAACTGGGGTCTCTGGAAGATAAAAGGTTGTGTAGCTCATCAGTAATATTCTGATTTGCATACCAACATAGTGGACATTATGAAGAGAAGGGAATTAAATTATATTTAGAATTGCTTATCTCTAGTGAATCAAAACATTTCATTACCATAAATATTGTATATATGTATACATATATTTAAAATCCCCTACTTCTAATTCAGTTTTGTTAAAAATTGTGGTCTATTTACTTCTAAAAAGAACTTTAAACAGAGAAATTTTATTATTTTCAGGGAAAATATTTTGACCATGGAAATATTTTTGAACTGATGAATTTGCTAGCAATCAAATGGTTCCGATTCGTGTGTCAGACACAAACAAGCACAGCAAAAGGCTAATAGATAGGTGCTGTTAGGAGGGAGTTTTAAGATTGCCATCTGAGACACTGCAGTGAAGGGCCTCCTGAGGTGGGGCTGTGGCATCTGCCTGGGCTTGGGGGCAGTCCCACTCAGAGAAACCCAGGCTAGGTCCTCAGCCGCCCTGTGGAGGCATGGCTACCTCCTCTGGAGACTCTTTTGTTTTGAAATAGCAGTGGCACGCACAAATCGCTCTCAAAGAACTCCCCGACTTCCTCCCCCACTCCATAGAAGGGAATAGATGTTGCTTTGACTTTAAATTTTGTCTGTAGGGCTGGCTTCTGGAAGCGGGGTCGCTGTAGAATTCCTGTTCTGGAAGGTGTGATCCTCTGGAGGGCTGTGATCCACTCACCGAGGCTGGGGACTTCCTGCCTGCCTGCGTGTCTATCTGTCTGTCGTCTGTCTGGATGTGACCTGACTTTCTAGGCCCAGGGCATGACTCAATGTACAATTTCCTCCAAGTCCACCAACCTCATTCAGGAGCTTCAAGGTTCAGCTTCTGGGAGCTTAATTGGGACTACTTACTTCCAGGGAATTCGGATCTGAGGCCAAAGGGATACAAGGCCTGTAGCTCCGACAACCACCTACCCACCCTCCTTCCAAGGACAGTCACCTCACCGCTTCCTAGAAGTTCTGCCAACTTCACTCTGGTCGCTTTCTGGGCCAGCTCTCTTATGACAGCCCAGGAGGAAAAAGAAAAATCGCCTGGGTGCTGGACAGGCAGGCTTGGTGTAGAGGAGAGTGTGCCTATGTCCGCCAGTGAGCTTCAGTTCCCTCCGTTCCCGCTCTCAGCCCACAGCGCACTCAGACTGTTGAAACCTCGGAAAAAATAAGTGCCAAGTTCCACCTCCAAGTTCCACATTCTCGTGTCCTCTGGAGGACTCACGTGGACTCATTTATTTTTTCCCTTTTCTTTTTTTATCTTTCAGCCTTGCTTTCCCCCTTCTGTTTGGACACGTGCACCCGCATTTGTTAACCCCTTTCTCTCAATACCTCGTCCTCACTTCTTTTCTGCACTTCCAAACCGGGGCTGGTGGTTTTCTGGACTGTCCTCCAATGATTAGAGCACACCTCCCCAGTCCGCTTCCTCTGACCCACTAGGACCCGGGGCTCTAAATCCCAGTCCGGAAAAGGAGTCCCCTGGTCTCCCCGCACTCCTCCAGGGCTTCCCCTGACTAGGGCGGATGGAATCAGGAAACCAACGTCTGGGCCATGGCCACAGCGATCAGCCAAGGAAAAACTGTACCAAGCCCTACCCAGATCTTTGTGCTCTTTTAGAGACCTAGTCCTTTTGCATCTGAACTTTACATTTCCCTTCTATTATGAATACCCAAAAAACCAGGCAGGCAAGAAGAGAAGGACCCCGAGGGAAAAAGGAACAAGAGACATCCAGATTATGTATTTATTTTATGTAAAGAAACGTTACATATGTAATTTTAGATTTTCCTCCAAATTAGAGTTCTGAGGCTTTAGAAAACCTATTTTTAACACCTTCTTCTCTCCTATGGTCTTGATTGCCTAAATTGCTTCTAATTGGGTGGCACACATTACTGGAAACGAAGGACGCATGACAAGCAGCCTTCATTCTTAGGCAGATTTAGATAATGTGTCCAGATGAATATCTTATCTGATAAGAGAAACTAGAACACCAGCCACTGCGGCTGTTTTCTTAGGGCCTTGAGCAAGAGGGGGACAATCACAGAGTCCTGTAAACCCACACATTTTAAAGGGTGCACCTACGGTATAGAGTGTCAGGGTTCTCCCCCCCACACACACACACCTCTAATGTGGCACACAAAGGAGACAGGCTCGTGTTCTGGTTGGTTCTGAAACAGCTTTCCATCCTCTTAGCAAGCGTGAACGTTTTTGTTTGTTTGTTTGTTGGTAAACCACTTAAGAATATATGCTTTATCCCTTTGCTCAAGGCTTCGCGGGCCCTGGGAGCTGCTGATGCGAGCGTGCTAGCTCCGACTGCAGTCTGCAGCGAGCAAAGTTCATTGCCACACAGAAGGGAGCTTTTCAGAAGCTTTAACCAGCTGCTGGGGGGTTTCTGGGGGCGAGAGTTTCTTGGACCACTGACAGGTGTGATCCCAACTTGAGTCTGCTGAGGGCAAGCGTCGGGTGAGGGCTGTTTGCCCCTAAGAAGCTTGCGGGTTGCGGGCTGGATCACCTAGCCGACTGACGGACCTCCGAAGTTGCTGGAAGCTGGTTTGCACCAACCATTCAACAAAGGGCATGGGAACTCATCTTACTGTCTCGGCAAACTGCACTTTCGTTGTTTCATCCTCTCTGAAATAACGCAGGCAACAGATTATAAATAAAGTTATTCTTTTTAGGCCAGAGGAAATACGCCTGAGTCAATCTCCTTTTGTGTGTCAACTTTACAGGCGCCGGTTTTTTGTTTTTTGTTTTGTTTTTTTTCTTCTTGCAATTCTTTGAGACTCTCACCCCTCAATGATACGGGAAGCACCCTCAGGCCACTTTAAATGGTGTCACAGGAGAGAGTCCTAGGTGAAACAGGAACACCCTGGAGGAAATGTGTCTGTCAGTGTCGATCAAAGGGAATCTTCTCCGGGGCTGCCGCTGCGGAGAGGGGTGCAGGCAGCGGCCTGGAAGGTGGAGGATCAGCTCCACGCTCCGCTATGCCCATGCTGTACCCCTCAACATAAGGACACCTCCATGTCTGCGAAGCTAACGCTTCTGCTGCGATAAAGGCCCACCACTATGTACCTTCGCATTTTGCTCTGCCCCTTAGAACGCATCATTTGCTCACAGAAGGAGATTTAGGCAGAAGGAAACCCTCAGTGGTGGCAGCCCCAATAGGTTCCAGCAACAGACGTGCGCCTCGCCCCTGGCCTTGGTAGGTCACCACACACTGACAAAATTATCAGACTGTTTTTGGAAGGTCTCTTCTTGTACATTTGGCCCTCTACTCGCCCCTTGACGGGAAAGAAGTGGACCGAAGAAAGGCGTATCACGGATAAAGAGGGTGGGGATGGAGACAGAGGGTCAGTAAACTCCCTCGGATTTAGGCAAAGCCTTTCTGAGGAGCTTGTTACAAGCTGAGGGGCTGGCTACCTTGGTACTTCTACTTTAAAAAAGAAATGTAACTGGTGAGTCAAACTCGCTGTTTGGAAAGACAAGAACCCCCCCACAGTTGTTAGGACAGGAAATCCATAGTAAAACAGTATCAGGTAGAACCAGTGTCCCAGCAACACCGAGCACTTCAGAACGGGGGCTTCCTAAGCCTTTCCTTTTTAGAAAGAGAAAGAGAAAGGAGTGGAGAGAGAGAGAGACGGGGGAGAGGGGAGAGCGAAGGGGAGAAGGGAAGAAGAGGGGGTATTTAGCAAGTTAAGAGGTTAAATATTTGAACAGATTCGTAAATATATAGACAGCCCTTGCAATTTGGGGTGTGTAATAATGCCTTTTGTGGCGCTGTCTGGCTGGGAGGCTGAGCGGAGGACCCTGCCTTCTTCCCTGGGCAGCCAACTGGAAAGCTCCTGGGTTCACAAAACAAAACCAGCTCCCCTCTTTTGGAGAAGGAGAAAAATATTGTCTCTTCTTTCAAAAATAAGAAGGGGAAAAAAATAAACCAAGAGAAAGCATAGCAAATGAAAGCCTTATTTCTTAGGAATTTTTTTTCCAGAATCATTTCAGAAAGCTATCTTCAGGCTGAAGTCATTTCGAAGTATTGTTTGAGCAAATATGTTCCAGCACTCAATTATCTAGGATGCATCAATTATTTCTTTGAATCCAACTCACTTTTGCAACAAGAGTATATTGGTGTGGGTATTAGAAACACTTGGAGCTCTAACGTGTTTTGTAGCTGAGTAGGGTGGGTTTCTTTTTCTGACAATTGTACTGAGCGCTGCTGATGGCATCTGTCCTCTGCCTGTGCCCATGGGCGGAGGACACAGGCTGTGGGTGTGTCCAGCCCGCAGACGCGCGTGCGTGCGTGTGTATGTGTGTGTTGTATACACGTATTCTCTAGTGTGTGCCTCAAATGGAGCCATTTTTCCCCTTTCGGCGCCCTGTGTATATTAGTATTATGCAAATAAAATCATTCTGCTTGAGTATATTTTGGAGGGGGAGGGGATGAACCGTTTTAATTCTGCTCTAGTATTTCCTCTGCGATCTTTTCACTGTGTGTTAATTCGTGTGAATGCCTTTTCTGAGGTGTGTGTGTATGTGTGTGTGTGTGTGTGTGTGTGTGTGTGTGTGTGTGCTTGTGTGTGGGGGAAGAGTGTGGGCTTGTCAGTGGGTGTGTGCCTCTGCGTGTGTGTGCCCAGAGCAGCCCCTGTTCTCCTCGGGTGTCCTGTCTGTCTCTGCCCGCGTGTTTTGTGTTCTTGATGTGATTATGTGCGTTATTTACATACGTGCGCCTATTCTCTTACCTTCGTGTATCGCCTTTCTCCACAGTCCACACATTTCACATATATTCTTTTATCTTTTGGCAAAGTGCCTTTTTTGTTCCTCGAAGAATATTTATTGATGTGATAATCTGAAATGAAAAGTGGTCTCCCATGAAGGAGATGGAAGAGAAAGGAGCGTTCATCTTTCTTAATAGACGGGGCAGTGCCAGTTGACTGGATCACAGGGTTTCTCTGCACTTTCTGCGTGTGAGTCTGCGTGTTGGGGTGGGGGCGGGGACGGCCGCGGGAGGACAGAGAAAGAGTCCCGAAGCAGAACAAAGATAGGACACCGCGCCTCCTTGCGGCCCGACTGCATACTGCATCCACCCGGCGGGCCCGACTTTAGAAATCAGAATTCAGAGATTTCCCCGTTAAACCATTCAGGGGCCGCCTCTCAGACCCAGCCCCCGGGCCTCGGCCAATCGCCGGGCGCCATGCAAATCACCCCTTCCGTCTCCCAAACCCGAGTCCGGTTTAGCGGCAGCTCCCGCCGCCCCGCCCCGGCTTAGTCCTTCCCTTCCCCTCCCCCTTCCCCTCCGCCTCCACCCGAGCAGCTGCTTGGGAAGAGGGCAGTGCTGGGTGCTTCATGCATATGCAGACGGATCCACCCTCCCCCTGCAGCCCCCTCCTCCCACCTCCCCCTCCCGCCCCCTCCTTCCGCCTAGCCCTGCCCGGCTCCCCAGCCCCCACCCCACCGCCCACTAGTGTCTCCCCGCCCGGTCCCGGCGCCTTAGACGTGCAGCTCCCAGCTCTGGTCCAGGCAGCTGCTTCCCACAAGGATGCCCAGGCGCGCCAGAGGAGCCCGCGAGGGAGAGGGAGGAAACCTCCGCCTTTGAAATCCTCTCGAAGGTCAAGTTTGGGCCTTGCGGTGCACGAGCCAGAGGCGTTGAACACGCTCTGCAGGGTCTGCAGGAAGGTGGTGCATGCAGCCTGGTTTTGCCTCGGCTTTCACCCACTAAATATCAGATTAAATTTCTCTGAAACACACTAAGTACCAGCCACGTCCAGAGTCAGGGTGATGATAGATGGTTCTGCGTGCCCACAGCTACAGTGTGTATTTGTCTTGCACATCAACGTTCCTTAAGCCACAAAAGCGCTGGAGAGGAGATCAAAGGACATTATATCTTCTTAAGAGCAGGAAGGGTGGCAAGTGGCGCTATGGGGGGCGAGCAGTGGCGAGCAGTGGGACCTGCTCGAGGTGGGTAGTTAAATGGCAGCTCCAGAAACGTGATCTGGGACCCACGTCAAGGAAAAAAAAATAATTCTGTGAGAAGGCCAATTTGTTACTATTATGTATACTCAAGACTTCGACCTCCGCCCTTCCGAGACACCCGAAAATGTATTCAAGTTTTGAATACTGCTCTGAACTGACCTTGAGTCCTTTAAAAGCGGGGGGGGGGTGGGGGGGGGGGGGGGGGGGGGGGGGGGAATGTCACCGCGGAAACTGCGCATGTAGAGTGCTTGGAAATCCTGTAGGGAGGACGCCTCACTGCGGGGTGACCTTGTTTTATACAGATCCACTTCGGGGGCCCCAAATGACTTCAGGACTTTCTAGAGGGAACCGCAGCAGTTTCCCCTCAAATCTTACTCCGTGGAGAAGTGGGGGCACTGTCGATTTAAATCCACACTTTGCTAAGATTATCTACCGAACACATTTTTTATGGAGGGCGTATTGTGTGCCGGGCACACAACAACATCTTCCCTGAGAAGCACATCACGTGTTTAGGCAGTTCTCAGGTGCCATGGAAATTGGGCAAAGGAACAGCGGCTCTGAACGGTTTCTGCCCTTGAGTTGCTCCTGCGCTAGCTGGAGGGGAAAGGTGTAGGTGATGCTTCACAACACCACAGGAAACGGCTCAGAGAGCTCTCTGATGGCAGTGGAGCTGTGTTGGTACATTCCTATGGTGAAATACAGTGCAGCAATCAAAAGTGAATGGGCGATCTTGAAGGCAATGTTGGATGAAAAAGCGAATCGCAAGAGAATGTGATATTAATGCAATGTTAGTGTCTATTAACATAACACTAACAAACTACAAAAACACAGGAGGTACGTGATAGGAGGTGTGGAAGCTGCAGGAGAGAGAGGACATCTTTTAGTCATAAAGATTTTAGCTCTGTGAGTAATGCTTATTCCTTCTAAAGAACTAGAATATGGGGAAACATATTCATGGGAAGGCTTTATGGAAAAGCTGGTACTGATGCTAAATTTAAAATCTTGAATATGGTAAGCGGAAGGAATAGGAATATTCAGAAGACAATTTTCCTGAATGAGAGAAAGAAAAGTGTAGCCCGTGAGAAGCTTGTATAGTCATGAAATAAAATTTCAATCTACATACAGTGAAAGCCACTCTTTTGGGGTGCTCGATTCTGTAAGCTTTATGCATTCGCAGACAGGAAACTGTCGTGGATGCAGGAGACAGCTGCTCCCCAGTTCATCTGAGCAGTCTTCGTGGTTGCTCCTTCTTTTTCTCTTGAGCCCTGAGACCATTGACCTTGTCTTCACCCCTGCACTTCTTTCCCCCAACGTGGTATAAGGAGAATCCTATAGTACATTGCCTTTTCTCAGCTGGTGTCTTTCATGTGGCAGAATGCGCTCTGTCTTCATCTGTGTTGCTGGCTGTACCAGCAGTTTGCTCCTCCTGTTTCCTGTATTTTTTCCCCATTGCTAAGATGTACCAGACTGTTTATCCTTTTATCAGTCAAAGGCCATTCAAGTTCTGAACGCAGTTTTTCTTTTTTTAATTTTATTAGCTGTTGTGGTTGTTGTGTGTAGGTGGGCCCTGGAGAGTGTGTGTTGGGGCAGGGGGATATACGTATTTCTGAGAACTCTGAGCAGATCTTTAGCAACCTGGAGTGATCAGTTCTCTCCTGCCACCTCTAGATGGATTCTGGGGACCGAATTCAGTTGGCCAGGTCTGTGCAGCAAGTGTCTGCTGAGCTGCTACCTCACCCACCTGGGCTATCTCACCCACCTGGGCTACCTCACCCACCTGGGCTACCTCACCCACCCGGGCTATCTCACCCACCTGAGCTATCTCACCCACCTGGGCTATCTCACCCACCTGAGCTATCTCACCCACCTGGGCTACCTCACCCTCCTGGGCTATCTCACCCACCTGGGCTATCTCACCCACCTGGGCTATCTCACCCACCTGGGCTATCTCAATCTCACCCATCTCACTGCCGTGGTGGACACATACTTTCTGGATTTTTAGGGACTGTTTTTTTTTTTTTTTTTAACCCATGTGTAATGTGAATTTCCTGTAAATGATTACATTGTTGTATGTGATAGCATGTTCGGATATTTCTGCCCAGATGCTCAGTTGATATTCTGGCATTAAACACTGTATAGTATTGAAACCTGCAGCCGAATGTGTAAGGAAACACATAGGTTCCCAGTGTTTTTGCAGATGCAGAGGGGTGAACAGAAAGATGAACCATTGACACTGGTGGGAGAGCATGGTTCCCATGCCTGGGTTTATGCCTTATTGCCGAATGTTTCCCAAAGTTTTATTGAAAGATTGACCTTTGCCCTCAGAGGTTCATTGAGCTCTACTGATGGTTCCCACAGGTGCCATACAGGACAGCTGCGTCCACCAGCAAAGGCATCCTGAACACCTGGAAGGATTCACAGTAGTGACATCTATACCTAGTCTACAGCATCAGCCGTTAGGGTTTGGCTTCCTTTTGCTTATCTCTCTATGGTACCCTGAGAAGTTGACAGTTGGGCTGTATAGATTGGGTACTACATTTACCCATGGTTATTTAAACATTTTGTAATGTCTGCCTCAGAGTTCCAAAGTCAGATAGGGATGAATTACTTGCTGCTAAAAGCTTCATGTGGATTTATTTTAAAGGGCTTTGATCTTCTCTTGGCTACTTGCAAGCTCTCTTTGTCTTGGTAAGGATATATCAGGTGAAAAGGAAAGAACAAATGTGGATGGACTGCTTCCCAGTATGATTCCAAATGGACCAGAGGACAAACCCAACTGTGAAATGTGGTTAACACTGAGATTCAGCGAGTGCTGGGGTCTAGTGCTAGTTATCAGCAAAACAGGCCTGAGTTTTATTTTAGAGTGGTAGCCATTTGCTACCCATGGGCCTTGGAATGTTATCCCTAGTCTTAGCTCTTAATTACATCACCCTTCAGGTGGTAATGCTAGGAACTGAAGTGTCTATCTGTGCAACTACAGACATAGTTAGAAAAGAAACACTAGGAGTTGACTTTGGGTAAATTCTTAAGTAAAGGTTATAAAGTCTGTAAATGAAGAGATGTAAATGTCGAAGTTTGACTTTAAGGCTCTAAGCCACCTTGGGAAAGAAGTCTACCGGTAGTGTATTTCTACCCCTTAGCAAAGGGCAGAAACGTGCACACACTGTTGTTTGTGATTTTCAGATTTCTCCAGTAAAATCCACTCTTTGATCTCTAGGCTTTTTGCTGTCACGGATTTCTATCATTAATCATGCCAAATGTATTGGTCATAGCACCTACCATCTTCCAGGTTAAGCTAATTATAGCATATCCAGACTAGTGTTTCCTAGTGGGCTTTGACGATTTAGAGAAAGTGCTGATTCCCCCCCACACACACACACGTTAGTTTATAACCCTTCATTCAAATGGGTAATTTAGAACCGCTCCCAACTTTTATACTTAATGCTGCAATTGTCTTTCATAAGCACATCCAAGCTAAGTCATCTACCAGTGACTTCGTGGTACATCTCTCATTAAGAGATCTACTTTGTGTTATGAATAACCTAGTATATTCTTAGAACCAACACTTGGTCCCTAATGAAAAATAAAAAGAGGATGTGCAATAGAAGAGCAGAAACCTCTTTTGGCGGCCTACCAACCACATGATTGTGGAGTAAGTGTTTTTCTTCCAGGCACTGTCTTTTAAAATGGTAACTGTTCAAGAGTGTTACAGTAGCCTGATATAAAATGGTGGCTCTGGCCTTTTAAACTCTGATTCTTTCTCCTGTAAAGCAATATAAGCTTCAGCACCACACTGGAATAATGACATCTCAGGACTAGTACTGCATTCACATGAGGAAAGTCCCAGAATGGGGTTGACTCAGCACTACGTGACCAGGCTGCTCAATGTCCCGATGAATGCCATTGCCCCGAGGAATTACATGTAGAGGTGCCCAGAGCTTGTGTAAAGTTCTCTGTGCCATTTGAAAAAGGTACTTGGAGAAAAGAGAGGCTGCTTTTTAATTTTAATGTTTTACTCATTGGTTTAAGTACATTTATGGTTTGCTTTGCAAAATGTCAACAGACATCCCAAGTGGATAACATTTAAAAGAGATTGAATTTCCTGTATTTACTCTAATATCATGTAAAAAATGTGGTCATCAAGGCCTACAGGTTCATCGGTTAAGAGAGCTCAGTCAAATGATTATTCAAAGCAATGAGCTGCCTCTTCTGCTTGTCTCTCTTTGTCTCATGTTTTCACTGACTAGGATTCCAGCAAGGTATAGTTGACAGTTTAGGATGGGCTCCAAATGGAGCTTCCATCTAGAAGGTGTCTCAAGGATACAGTGAGGAGGTATCTGCTACCTGCTGACTCAGAGTTCATGAAAACAAACAAACAAACAAACAAACAAAGCAACATTAAATAACATGGGCAGTTGGGTATTATATACTCAATAATAAAAAACACTTTCACATAAAGGGTCTTATTTCTTGTAAGTCCTTACCACAATCTTATTGTTCAGGTCAATGTGGCAATGATTGTGTTTATTTTATACTAAAGGGTCCTGAGGGTTAGATGTATTTTAGGTGGCTGACCAAGTGTTTCCTCCATGCTAAGTAGTATTTGTTCTAAGCGCTTCACATGTTTTAATTTGTTTAATCTATACAGCATCTACAGGGAACATTTTTTATTGTGATCTTTGCTTGGTAGGTAAAACTATTGAGCAGTAAATTAATCTGCACCAAGTTCAGAGTAAGTGGTAGAATCAGATAAGAATGCCACTGCCTAGCGTCCATACCTTCCTGCTGATCATCAATGTATCCCAAGAAATTTGGACAGTGAGTGTTAGAACATGGGTCTCCTAGCATCCTACAAAGCTTTTCTACTTTGCATTTTGTTGTATCGTCTCTCATCTCTCTTGTTTTGTTTTATATTATATTTTATAGTGTTGCACATATATCACCTTCCCCACAATGTAATCTGAATTTTCTTAGGGCAAGGAAGAGAGGATTAATTCCTTATAGGTATGGACTATATCCTGTGTCTCAAAAACTTTCAAGCATAAGAGGAACTAGTTAAAATGTATTGAGTTGAATTAAAATTGTAACTCCATGCACATTATAGGTCTAAAAATGTATGATTAGAATTTTGTAATAAAGAGTTGGTGTGGGAAGGGGAGACTAGTTAAACCAAACAGTGGTAAGGAAGGATTACTCTTATGGAGAAAAGCAAGATGACAAAATCAACTTCTAGAGTTCTTTCCACCTGCCAGACTCTCTTCATTTTTGTCCTTACAACCTGATGCTATTACCATGATTTAATGATGGGGAGACAGAGCTCAGAGTTTATATGACCAACTGAATAATAAATATGTAGGTTTAGCGTGTGTGGAAGGGGAAGGAAGGAAGTGGGCATGTACTGCTTCGTCTCTTTAATTCCAGTCCAGAGACTATGGTTTTTCTAGTTTATGTTATGATTCTTTTCAGATATTTTCTTGTTCTCTTCCTAGGTGGTGTCTGCATGCTACCATGAAGTTCTCTCTCGGCCAGTTCATCTACTACAGCTTGGATGTGTTTTTGGGTGTTCCCTGAGTATTCATGTGTTGAGACTTAATCTCCATATTAACATGCTGAGAAGGAGGAAACGTAATTTGACTATGGTGGTTGGAGATGCTTCCTTTCAAAGGTGATTAGGATTAGATATCCAGATGGAATCCCCATTACTGAATTGTTGTGACTTCGGAAAAAGAGAGACCAGAAAACATGCCTCCTCCTCCCATCTCTTGACTTGTAATTTTCTCTGTCTTGACAGGACTCCTCCAACAAGAAAGTATTACCAAAATGCAGCTCCTTAACCTTACACCTTCAGGACTGTAAGCCAGAATAAATTTATTTCTTCATGAAGTAGCCTGACAAAGGTGTTTCTTGAGAGCAACAAATCAAAAACTGATGCATCCTTTTTACTTTAGCATTCAGTAGTTGCTCATGGTTCATAAGCTATACGGTCTTCCATACTCTAGCCCATTCTACATTTTATTATCATTTCAGCCTCCTTCCCAATACCTTAGTGTCTTTGTGACTTCAGCCATGTTGTTCATTGCTTGGAATGCTGTTCCTTTCCTTTCTTCCTGGGGAATCACATTCATCCCACACAATAAAATTTAAATGCATTTCTGTTTGAAGCTTTCTATAACCATACAGATAGAATTAATCACCTCATGAATATATACTTTACTTTTAACAGCAGCAACAACTAACATCTAGTGAATGTTTATATACTGCAATTCAGGTATCGCTGATAAAGAAAATGAGATTCAAAAGCTTTGTAAGACTTTCCGAAGAATACAGGATAATACACTTCTAGATGGATTTGACTCTCAAACTCATAAACTTACCCACTTTGCTTTAACTTCCTCAACTGACCTACAGCATTTATATGTTTTTTTAAAATCTCTTTCTCTTCAATGCTATGAAGCTGATAGCTACTGATAAAGTACGTTTTGTGTTCTTAATGTGTAGCACAGTATTTGAAATGAAAAAAAAAAAGGGGCAATTCAGTAAAATGACTGAATGGGTACCACATACAGCCTATTCCTTGGATTTCATATCCCTCACCAGACTGTTATATTCCACACTGCAGGTCAACGATATGCTACTTTACTTTGTCCTCACACTTTATTGACGTCTAGAGTTGTTACTTGTGAAACTGATCACCCTGACAACTGTTGACTGTAAGAGTCTTTACTTGGCAGCCATGACTGGAAAGTGTCAGTCATGATGGATTCTGCAACACTTGGGATGCAGTCACTGTCATTTGCTATTTGCTTTCAGTTTGAGTTGTTTCAGAATTGGCTGAAATCCGATCTTTTCAATGGCCTTGAACTTCAATATCACACTCTCAGAATACTCCCTTCCCTTTTCAGAAGAACTCTAAAGCGCCACAGAAGTTCTTTGTAGGAAATTTCCTTTCCTACAAGGACTCATGTGCCTCATGTCCTCTATGCTTTGAGACTGTTATCTGTTACCATGCTCTACTGCACAGACCCATAGTCTGGGATGATCCTTGATAGGAGTGGTTTTCTCATAACTCCTATCTTGGTGCTCATCTTTGGATTTCACACACCATCCTCTCCCCTGCATGCTGTGCTGAAGAACATCCTCTCCTTTCAGAATCCACTGTCCTGCATTTGACCCCTGGGGATTCCCCATCGGGGGCCAGACATAGTCCCTTCCCTGGCCCCAAACAAAAGATCTATTCTTTTTTCCACTCTGGTAATAGAGCTTGTTATTGAAGGCTCAGGACCATAAACAAGTGATGTCTGCTCCCTCTCAGGGTCTGGCAAGAGAAGCATCTCCCTTTCTTCATGAAGATTTCTTCTCCAAAGGACAGAATAGGAAACTTTGTGGCATCTTCAAGTTAAAATGGCAGTAGCAAAGCCCCACTTTGTCTTCAGCAGGTCCTTCAGCTGGGTAGCTCTTCAGTGAGACATCCTGTTTAAAAAACATCCACACATAACTTAATTGTGTACGCCAGTGAGAGTTTTTCTCTTTAAACGAGTCACTTTCTATAATATCATAGTGCCTCCATCATGTAAGTACTTTTGAATTCCTCAGTTTTTGTCAGAGCCTCCAGACCAATCTTTTTACTATTCCCAAAGAGAGCAAATATTTATACTTGAAAATATATTTGATTTTGGAAAGAGCCCAGTGCTATTTGGCTTAGTGGTCTGAGTAAAATCAGTGTAAAAGCTGGGTTTGGTCCAAACGAGGTGAAACTACCAAGTAATGACATTGATTTTGTGAGTTGTACTGAGTCTAAAAAGAGATTTCCAAATACAGTGTTGGCGGATGAGTATTAGGTAGTAAATGTGTCTCTCCCGAGTGTGACTAGACTAAGAACGACACAAAATTGAGCACAGATATTGGAGTCTGTCTGTGACCAGCCAGTCTTGCTCCTAATCTGTGAAGGCACAGCTGGCATAGTCTGCTCAAAAAACTTGGAGAAAATATCTAGTGGTAGACTAACAGTTCTCAAATGTGTTACTAGCACAACCCCCCAAATTCTGTTGTTAAAACCAGATTTAAGAACACCGGTATAGTTCCTGAGAATTTGCGTGTTTCACCTGCACACAGGTGATGAGGCAGAACCCTCTCGGAGGACTATGGCTCTGGACTCTGAACAGCCTTGCCAAGTAAATTAGTTTGGTTTGCACATTGAGCTTTGTGTATGTTAACGTGTTAGTTTATTTGTGCTCGTGTGTATATGAACTTCACTTTAGAAGAAGATATTCATGGATGAGTAAGGAGAAAACACCATTTTCTTTACATTGGGTGTTTTTTTGTTGTTGTTGCTGTTGTTATTCAGAATATAACTGAAATTGCTAAGGAGAAAATGATAAAGAAATTTAAATGTTTAATATAACTAATTATTACATGGGCAATATCACATGAAAAAGAGTAAAGGACATTTTGAGGTGTTTAAAGCTGTTATTTCTGATGTGACAATTTTTGAAATTGATGTAGCAGAAGTTCTCTTGTTAGCTAGCTAAAAACAAAATCCTATTTCACAGCTAAAATGTAAACAGCTAAGATGTAATCAGAGGACTAAATTTCACAGCTACAAAAACACAGCTGTGAAACATAACTTTGGAGTGTAATAAAGCCAAATAGCTTTTCATGCTAATGGCGGATATTACAAATAAAGACAAGAAAGGTTTTGTCAGACATTTTAGTGTCTAAATGCCTTCATTAAAGTTACCTTTTATCTGAGATTTTTTTCCAGCTACTTGCCACATATGCATTTATTGAATGACTACTATGATTATCTTGATAGAAAATTCTGGTACAGAGACAATTGTGTTATTAAATTAATCTAAGGAGATTATGAAAAGTCACATAGGTTAGGTAAAATTTAAAGAAATGGATTACATTTTAATTAATTAATTTGTGTGTGTGTGTGTGTGTGTGTGTGTGTGTGTATGTATGTGTGCATGTGCACATATGCACACACACAAAGGTGGAGGTCAAAAGACAACTTCAAGACTCAGTTCTTTCCTTCCACCATGTAAGTCCACAGGATCAAACTCAGGCCACTATCATGGCATCAAGAGCCTTCACCTTCTGAACCATCTCCATCTCACTGGCTCCTTCACCTTCTGAACCATCTCCATCTCACTGGCTCCTTCACCTTCTGAGCCATCTCCATCTCACTGGCTCCTTTCTTTTTGAACCATCTCACTGGCTCCTTCACCTTTGAACCATCTCCATCTCACTGGCTCCTTTCTTTTTGAACCATCTCCATCTCACTGGCTTCTTCACCTTCTGAACCATCTCCATCTCCCTGGCTCCTTCACCTTCTGAACCATCTCCATCTCACTGGCTCCTTCACCTTCTGAACCATCTCCATCTCACTGGCTCCTTCACCTTTGAACCATCTCCATCTCACTGGCTCCTTCACCTTTGAACCATCTCCATCTCACTGGCTCCTTCACCTTTGAACCATCTTCATCTCACTGACTCCTTCACCTTCTGAACCATCTCCATCTCACTGGCTCCTTCACCTTTGAACCATCTCCATCTCATTGGCTTCTTCACCTTCTGAACCATCTCCATCTCACTGGCTCCTTTCTTTTTGAACCATCTCACTGGCTCCTTCACCTTCTGAACCATCTCCATCTCACTGACTCCTTTGGATAAATTTTTTTATTAGTGAATTCAGATTGGAAAATTAGTTCATGCAGATTAGAAACTTGCTGGAAAATTTTAAAAAACTCAAAAATATCACCACTGCTAATGTTTTTTAGTTGTGTGTTTACATTTCCATGGCATTAATTCTGACCACTACTACTTTAGGTGTTTAGTTGATTTTGAGGAGTCAGGGAGGTGAGAATTAAGGCAGAGTTTCAGTGTGCAGCTGGCCTTGAACTCAATTATGTAGAACTGGCTCACTTTGCACCCACATGATCACAGAGATTCTCTTATTTTAGCCTCCTGGGTGCTGGGTACAGGCATGGGCCACCATTCATAGCTTATAGTGTTTTATTTTTTATTTTTTTATTTTTTAGGTTTTTCGAGACAGGGTTTCTCTGTGTAGCTTTGCGCCTTTCCTGGAACTCACTCTGTAGCCCAGGCTGGCCTCGAACTCGCAGAGATCCGCCTGCCTCTGCCTCCCGAGTGCTGGGATTAAAGTTGTGCGCCACCACCGCCCGGCGTGTTTTATTTTTTAAGGGCTCTGTTGGCCTGTCCTGGATTTTGAAAGTCCACAATTGTGTATGACTCTGTAAATATATTCATGTGTGAATGTATACATGTGTCTTTAGAGAGTAGGGATTTTCTATGGACTAGGCTTTTGTCTAATATTGAAAACCTCTTTTTACTGCAGTAAGAAACCAGAGAAGTAGCCAGGAGCTCCATCTAATTTTGTAAGACTAGTTGGCCCTTTATTCTCTATGATTTGATTGACAGTGTTATATCTCAGGGTTACTAATGTATATATTGTGCTTTTCTTTTTTGAGTTATATAATCAAACTTTTGGGTTATGATAATTTGGGGTAGTAGGCTATTAAAGCATGTTAAACATTTTCTCACCTATAAAAACATGGACTACAAATTTTGGAAGTTTTCTTGCTACTTAGAATTTTAAATTAAAAAAACTTATTTATGTGTATATGTTTGTATATATGTACATATGTATGTGTGTATGTGTCTGTGTACATATGCATATGTGTGTTTGTGTATATGAACATGTGTATATGTGTGTCTGTGTATATATACATGCATGTGTCTGTGTGCATCTGTATATAAGTGTATGCATGTCTATGTATATGAACATGTGTCTGTGTATATCTGTGTATGTATGTGTATGTGTATGTAGGCATGAATGTGTTTGTGTATATATAGTATTTGTATATGGACATGTGTTTGTCTGTGTACATATTCGTATGTGTGTGTGTCTGCACATGTGTATGTGTGGGTACTCCTGGAGGGCAGAAGATGGCTTTGGATCTTCTGAAGCTAGAGTTATAGGAGGTTGTGAGTGGGTGCTGAGAACTGAACGCTAGTTCTCTGCAGAGCAGCAAGAGAGTCTAGGTGCTGAGCCATCTCTCCAGCTCCTGAAATTCTATTTTTAAAGGATGCATATTTTATGAGTAAGTAGATCTATCCTTGTAGG